TTAAATAGGATATTTGTATTTAGTAAAAAGGAATAAATTAAAAAGACAAAAGAAGATCACTGAGGCTGAACGCTCTCTTTTGTCTTGTTTTAATTTATTCCTTTTTTACTAAGTCAAATATTCTATTTTCCATGACGTTTTTGCAAGTAGGTGTATGTCAAGAATGAAAAGATACGGTTTAAAAACGATATTTTAACTACATGTGAAAAGCCTTTTAGTTGTCGCCACAGGTAGCCCATCTCCCGTGACACCACAAAGACTGGGAAGCCTGTGTTATTTCATAATTTCCGGGAATACGGTGCTTTGCAAAGACTTGTATAATTGCACTGAGATATTTGTCGTCCAAATCTTCGATTTAAAGTTGTTTTCTCCCTTATTATAAACTTGTACAGCTGCAAAAAATACTTGTGAGTCTTTGACAGAGTGGATATCTACCTTCTGAAACCTTTTATAAAGAACAACGACCGAAGATTTTGTCCGGATACGAGACGGAAAATACGAACTTTCAAAACAATCATTAGCTGGTAAGGAATATTCAACAATTTTGTCTTAAATCATAGCAATCATTTTAAATTGGAATCAATCTGTTTTCTTTTAAGTAACTTTTGATTCTCATCATTAAAGAAACCTACCCAAGCTAGTATGGACAACAAGAGCTTTCGTTTTCATTACTGTCGAGTTTTTGTCATGATATTACTTGTTATTCCTCCGCTGAGAGCTAACTTCTCACCAGCAGAAAGCTGCTTAGCGGTATCCAAAACAATCTTCAACAACCCAGACCCGCATAAACTTATCAAAGACCCAAAGTTCATCTTAGATCTTTTTGATTGTGTACTACTTGTTAACAAAGCTCTGAAGGACAGCGAGTGGAAAGGAGCTTTCTCAATTCCGGAGAATGTAGCCGACTTTCTCATAAAGCACGGGAAGAGCAATCTTGTGTTAATGATGGTTAATGTGATGTACAAGAGCATCGAGCTCAATGTAATGGCGTCCGACATAGAAAGAGATTATGAGCTTGATGACCATGATTTCAATGTGCTCTACGAAAATTTAAACACAATGATGAATTATTGGAGTAAAGTAATTCTTACCTTTGAGAAATTGATAACACAAGAAATGGAAACAGGCGAGTCCCAAAGCAACGCGCTTCAAATTTTCAATTGGGAAAAGGTAAATGACAGTGCCAAGAAAAAGTTCAAAAATATCCTTAAGGAATTGAGCAACCTTTCAGATGACACGATTAAGGAATTATTGATAACTATCAATGAAAAGATCAAAAAAATCCAATCCTACATGACATGGGGTTTGGCATATCGCTCTGGCGCTGCTGCCTTATGTGTTGGTTCGATCTTCATCCTTAATCCTGCAGGCTGTGGAATGTTCTGTGCTGGCAGTGGTGGCGCAATTGTCGTTAACTATCATACTTATCAGAAACTTGCCAAAATCAATAAGAAATGTGAAACACTTTTCAAAAAAGCGGAAAAATTGCATTTAGAAATTATAAGATACCAGGAAAAAGTCGAGTATGGAGTTTAGGAATATTTCCACGCAGTTACTTACAGTTTCAGTCGATTTTGTTTATTGATTTTATCTTATTTTTGTTTTGTTAAATGAAAATTTGTTTTAAAAGATTTTAAGAAATTTTGCGTTACTTTTTCTAATTTTGAGCGTCATTCTTCTAAGTACGAGTTATATCGCATATAAATTGTTTTGAATTCAAAACGTTGTTAATCTTTTAGCATACTTAAAATTTCCGGCTCAAAGTGAAAAAATGCAGTTTAAGAGCTTTTGGACGTACCAGAATGTTTTTAGTATGTGAAGAATTTCAGTCGCAATGGTTCCATCAAGCTATTTTTGAAAATATTTTATTGAATAAGGGAAGCACTTTTTAAGATATTTCTATAAGAAGTAAAAGATGGATTGCCGTGCAACAATCGGTGAAATAAAGCACGGGGGGATGTTTGGAGAACACGAAAGAACCCAAGAAAATCACAGGCGCAGTGGGCGATTTTGCGTTGTTGAATCTCTCCCATTATTCACGCGTGCTTTATTTCACCAATAAACGCAAAGCAATCCATCCTTTATTGCTTCTATGGTATAGAAAGTTAGTTTGCTCGCGAGCTTGCGTTAGGGACGGTCCATTTAACTTTTGAGGGGAAGGATAGATGATTTTGAAAAAAAAAATCCTGTAAGCCATCTTCGCCAAAAATAAAAATCGTGCACAACATATGGACATGAAAAAAAAACTTGCACCACCCTAAGCCAAAAAAAAAAATGTTACATACAAGAATAAAGTTAAATGGACCTCAAAAGTTAAATGGACCGTCCCTTAGTACCGGGATCGACGAAAGAAATCACAATCTTGGACCAATCAGAGCGTTCGAACAATTACATCTATATTGTAAATTAAATTAATTGATAAGAGTGCAGACACTAAAAGCATGAAAACATGTAGTAATGACTTGCTAAATTGTACTGAATTTCTTTGTTTCCAGTATTGTCTAATCTGCAAAATCTAAAACATATAGTGCTGTCTGTAAGGAATATTTTTTAAGTACTTTTTGATTTTTTTTAGTTTTTGAGCCCTGAAGCATTTAGAGTGAAGTAAATATGGCTATCAAATTGACAGAAAAGAAATCACTGACAGTTAGAAAGTATTATGCATGGTGTATGTCTATTTCACGGGGTTTGTGACTTCTATTGCGCAATATATCAATTACTTAGAGTGAGAGCCTTAAAACCGTGAAACACAATTTGAATATTTGCTAGTTACTAAGATGTATTAGTGCAATATCTATTTTTTTTACTTTACTCTAGTTCTTTTCATGATTCACTTAAGTTAATGATTGTTAGCTATTTAATTAATAGTTAATTAATAATTAATTCTATTAAATTGGTTTAAAATATAGAGGCTAAACATCGACTCTATCAAATATTTGTTAACATTTTAAATAGTCCATTTGCAATCATACAAAGTCCAGTCATCACACCAAAAGACCTCGTTACACAACTATCATTGCAAAGGCGTCCCATACAGCAGCTTATCTTGCAATTTCGAAGCGGCGAACAATAATTGGTGCAAACTGTTGGTGACGTGCAACCCTTGATTATTGCTTTTCCTTCCAAGGTGTATTTTAGCACATCGGGTGTTAGGCAAGACACACTGACGTGAAACACCTTGACAATTTTTCATGCTCGATGAACATGCGTAACATTGGAGAGAAACATTGGCATCTAAAAAATAGAAGAAAATAGCCGGTTAGCTTTTGTTTCGAACCCTTTCAAATCATTTTTGGATTGTTCTTGTGCAGATGTTGTATAGCATGTGTTTCTGAAATCTGCCCGCACGAAAAAACATTTTCTGAGTTACGCCACGCCCTTTACATACAATTTTCTCTATTCTACGCTTTTACTTCGGGGGAAAGGGGGAGGGGGTTAAAATATTCCCTGATTTAATCACTTGTTTTCCAAAATTAGAATGCATTACATTATTACTTCCAGTTGCAAGACGTATGTTTTTAAAGTACAAGTGACCGAAAACTTTTTATCGTTTTTTATCTTTTAATCGAACTTTTTTACGTTTTCAAATTTGCCGTGCGCTTGAGTGATCATCACCGTATGTAAATTAGGCGGCGTCGGCCACTATGTCCAGGCATTCTACGCCATGCAATAATTTTGATGTAAATACTTACGCGATGGTCGGTTTACAGTGTTAGTTGGACCTTAAAATATAGAGAAAAAAGACGTTATCTAATTGAGGACTACAAAAAAGGCACCAGATCAACGCTGCCTATTGGGTGATTAATGACACAATATGGAAACGAGTTCGTAAAGGTCTAACAGCGAGTCAAACACCGCCAAAAAATCATGCCTCAAGAGCTATATGGAATGTTATTTTCTGTTAAAGTATGTAAAAAGTTAAAGTAAAGAAAAGAAGATATCAGACAAATATAAGGAATTTGTGGATTATTGCCATCAAACTCGGCTATCAGCTTTGAGGATTCTATTTAAACAGGTTTTTCAAAGGCAAATACAGAAATATGGAAATCCTACCGGTTTGACAATTTTTTCCCGAAAAGCCAAGACGACAGCGGCAAATAGGAAATTTGTTGTAGCAGAACTGCGTCCCACCATTAAGACACTTCTTCCACCACATCCACCATCTAATTTAAAAAATAATGATGAAAAATTGCTGTTATTTTTTTCATGCATGAAAAATGGCTTTATTTCAAAACTACAACCTATTGATGGTTTTCAATCTTAATACAATACTGGGCTAAAATCGAAACGTTCAAAACATCGACAAACGAGTATTGGGATAGCACGCCCTGATCCTTGAGTTCATTAGTGGCTTGTGAGATGCTCGTTTGGAATGTTCATAGTGTAAATAATATTATTTCCTGGAACACACGTTTCCCTCAGGTATTTTAAACAATGATCATCAGTTGATATTGTGATCTTTTGTTTATACTTGTACATTTCTAAGGAATTTAAAATGTCTGACATTGTTTACACTAGACTTGATTGGCCTATCTTTCGTTCGTATTTCTCGCTATCTGCGCTATTTACCAGTGCGCGCAAGGCACCAGTAAAAACCTCCAAAATTAAAGCAGTCCCAGTCTGAAAGCCATGTTTCTAATGATGCAAGGCCAAAGGGAGACGACGAAAGGAAAACAAATTGTCAAAAAGGACGCTGTTGACAATATTGGATTTATTTGGATTTCCTACGGTGGAATCAAGAATAGTTTCCCTCTACGAATTCATCTATGGAATCTTTCCAGTTAAAACAGATGAAATGTTATTCTCAAATATTTTTTTTTTTGATCCATACATTTCTTTTTAAAATTTACAAACATGTTTTTATGCATTTATGCGAAGTACCGCTGCGATTGCGGGCTCAAATGTCCGGATTTTCTGGCCATGTCCATTAGTCAGGCGCGTAGCGTGGACTTTTTTATGCACACGTCAGGGACCGTGACATATATTTTGGATCTGGGACTCTAACAAACGCCAAAAGCGGAAGTATTAAGGGAGTCTGGTCCTCCCCCAGAAATTTGAAAAAAATAACTCTTTGAAAAGCGATTTCCAGCATTTTGAGAGACATCGAAAATTATGAAAATTTTGAATGAAACTTAAGACCTCCCCTCTGTTAATTAGGTAATTTTACTTTGAGCTCCTCCTATCTTCCCATCAATTTTATGTAATGCCCCCCTCTAGTTTTACGCCCCCCCCCCTGGTAATTATTCCACAGTCCCTTAATTGCCAATTAATATGATATTGATATTACTTTTTCAGTTTTAAGAAGCTTTATCAACAACAATGATCATTTTTAATCTGCTAGATAAAGCTTGTTAGGCTATCTTTTTTTGAAAAATCCATTATGAAACGAAACGTACTAATGCGGAAATCTAAATTCAAAGACTCGTTGATGTGGGATTGAAATTGACCAAGATATGATTTTTTTTCAACTATTGATCTTCTCAATCTTATCATATAAATTGAAGATGTAGAAGCTGGAAAAACATCTTTTATGAATTATTAGACATAATGAGCAAAGGCAAGTAAGTCGTTTTTGATCATAAAAACGTTACATAAGCCTTTTTTGGACCTTGAAAACCTTTCGCAGGCCGAACAAATTCATACAAGAACAGTTATTCTGCAGAACAGACTCCGTCAGCCGCTCCTGAAAGTTTTTGTCTTTACAATTAGTAAGCCACCTCTTGCATCTGGATTCGTCTTTAGTGAAGTTCCCGTTGCTACAGTTGACTCGGCTCTCTTGTGCTTGTTTTATAACTAAGGTTAATAGTTGCGGGGCGGGGGGGACGCGACATTATTTCTTATGCTTCGGAGGAGGGGTTTTGGCTAATTTTCTGCTTGAGAAATCTGGTTTTACGCCCCCCTCCCCTCCTGGTAATTATTTCACAGTCCATTATTAATATTTTGTATTATTAAATTTCACGGATTAAGTGAGTCGACATCATCAATGTGTAATGTCAAAAATATACTTTTATTTTTCAGGATCCTACCCTGTTATTAAACCAGATGAAGCTAAACTATTCAAAAGTGTCAAAAAATACATGAATTAATATAATTAAATCGCAATGATAAAAAAAAACCTATAAAACATTTAAATGGGTAAACATTTCATGCTTTGAAAAGTGTATTTAACAAAGAACTTTATGCAGACCCACTTGCTTCCCAGACATGACACCTTTGCGACATTTTCGTGAATTATTTGAAAAATCGCATTTTTTTCTTTTTTTTTTTTTTGCTTGGTTTTGTTTTGTTTGTTTTGATTTTGTTGTTGTTGTTATTGTTGTTGCTGTTTTTTGATTATTACTTTGAACCATGCAACTTAGATAAAATAAGATATAACGTTTATTAAGGATTAACAACTCGAATTCTTTCGACTGAACTACGTTTATGAAAATATAATGAAATCAAAATATAATATAATATAAAAACATACGATATCATCGAATTATTACGATACATTAGAAATAGAAAAAAAAATATGTTCAACATTTTCCACAGGTCTCAAAAAATTATCGCAAAGTTTCCTGGATCTGGATGCAAATGGGCCTTTAACAGCAGTATAATGATATTTATTGTTAAAACTCGTAAATGTATATTTTCGATTTCTAATAACCAGATAAAAAATGCTAATGAGAATCAATTTATGCTAATACACATTACACAATATTTAACGGGGAAAAACAAGGATATTGATGAACGATTTACTTATTTGACGTACAGATATGTTGTCGTTAATTCTGTTTATCTGTAACATGTCTAAAACGACAACAAAAGCAKCAAAAATTGCACAAATAAAACATTTGTTTGCTTTTACAAGCATTCCAACGTGCACACTAAGGAACAAAACTTCGTAAGCGAAAAAAAAAATCAAAACATTTTTGTATTTAGTTTTTGCAAACAAGGACAACAACTTGATACAAGCCATTCTCATCGTGTAATGTGTATTAGCATAAATTGATCCTCATTAGCATTTTTTATCCGGTTATGTGAAATCGTTCTATTGTTACATATGATAATTTCATTAAATAGCTTATTTCTCGACTGTATTGATAATTTCTTGGTTTGGGTACTCTTACGAGCACCGGGAGTGGGATCAAGTAGATGGGACCGATCAATTTTTGAAATTTGAACCTCAAAAATGAGTTTTCCAGGATTTTGGTTGGCTTGGATTGACTGTATTTATTATGAAAATATACTGTATATAAACCACACGCAAGCATACTTCCAGATTTGTCTCTTGTGATATTTTGAATTCTATTACTTCATTATATAATGCACTAAAAATCGTTTGAGTTACCCGTTTGATTGAACTTTTGATATGTAATTCCACAGGATTCCCAATCTCTGTAGGCTCAGTCTCCAGCCGTCGGGATTTCGTGCGCCCGCGATACTCTCTCCCTTGACGGCTGGGCGCATGGGGTTCGCTATTGTCAGTCTCGACCAATCAGCGAGTGGCCCCCGATATTTTCAGGGGCATATCATTAATAAATTAGCAGGCAGCCGTCGTCGCAGTGTAACAAAATGGCGGACAATTCGTCGTTTGAGATTCTCGTTTGAACGCTCTGAAGTCGTTTAGCTTGGACGAATTTAGAGAAATACAGCAAAAGGCTCTTAAAGAGATTGTTCTTGGAAAAGATGTCCTTGTTATTCTTCCTACTGGCTCGGGCAAATCTCTTATTTTTCAAACAGCGCCACTAGTGTATTTTGCTCGTCTTTCTGGCAGATAATATATCCATTTGGATTATTAAACCCTACACATGTTTTACTTGGGGTAATTTCCATTCCTTTCTCTTTTTTAAAGCGCTAACTATTACATTATATCGCCACTTCGCGAAGTTTTCATTTCACATAATTTCCCGCCTTGTAGCAAAA